AAACATGGTTATTTGCGTAATTTTTTCGGAAACCCGGTTATTCGCGAAATATTATTTTAATACTTGGTTATTAATAAAAAAAATTCCATGATACCCCTGGCCCAATATATTTTTATTATTCATTTTATTTTCATTTTCATTTTATTAAATATATTTTTCTTAATATTAAAAATCATAAAAAATATAAAAATAATAGATTTATATTTTGACTTGTTTAATTTTATTTTTCTCACATAAAATATTTTTATTTAGTTATATATTATTTATTTTTATTAAATAAACTTGTAAAAATTATAACTAGTTTAATATTTATTTTTCCTTTATATCCATTAAATATTTATTTTAATATATAAAAGGACCAAAATACCTCATAATGCCATGTATTATTTTCAAGATAAAAAATACAAAATACTTACTTTTTCTTAAAGAAATTTATTTTTCTTTTAATCAAATAGAATTAAGGTTTATTCAAAAATCTTTTCTAAAAAATAATAATTTTTTTCTTAATTGATTTAAGTTAATCTTGACTTATTTATTAGGTTTAGGTTAAAACTTTTTCACATAAAAAACAAAAAATCTTCTTTGCATTTACATACCTTTGCATATTTAATTCATCTTGAATATTATTTATCCCAATATTTGTACATATTCAATTTGGTTGTAATAGATTAATTAGGTTTATATTATTGCAATCCCCATTCATAAATTGTATATGCCCCTCCCACAAATGTTGTAATAGCGTAGGACATTTAAATTTCGCAATTTATCGCTTTTATATAACATGCTAGTAATTAGGGTTTGTATGGCAAGATAAAACCAATCAAATAGAAAACCCTAATTCAAGACAAAATCAAGCATGAAAATGACACACTTGCACACAAGCACCCTTAGGGTTATCCCACTTGGTTGCCTTATACAAAAATGGTCATATTACGCGTGTAAGGTGTCTTAGCAAAAAAACAAACAAATACAAGATCATAGTCCCTCGATGACGCTATCCAAAGTTACCTTATAAAATGATCTTAGTCCCTAAAAAATGCTAAGATACTTTGCAACATTGCTAATCATGGTCATACGATGACCCACGCCCGTCCCGTTTACATCCAAAGATAGGGTTGCTTACCAAATCAATGGTAAGACAACAATATCAAAGGAAAAGAAAATGAACAAGAAAGACATTTGAGTAGGTAGATTACTTTTAGTTACTTGCTCCATTTCAAAACAAATATCCTTGCTATTTTCAAAACAAACACACACATTTCCAAATATCTTACAAACATTGAAAACATTTTCAAAAAAGATCAACATCTTGGTATACATTCTTACGAACGAGAATCATTACAAAGATTGCCTAAACAATGACCTATTTAACAAAATACTTTCAAAATCACACAAAGCATAATTTTAAACAAAAGCAAGTGATCTAGCAAGTAACTAAGATCCCATGGAAAACCATGGATGAAAAGGGTGATAATACCTTCCCTTTTAATAATCTACCCTCCGAACTCAAGAAACAATCTCAAAGGTCTTTCCTGTGATTTTTCACCTTTCCTTTTGGATAAAAGAAAAGTCGGTGGCGACTCTTGCTAACCGCAACATTTGCGATCAAACGCAAAACAATCAAGTCAGTTCTCCCACCGTATTACAGACGTCAGGACCCAGCAGTCGACGTGTCCTCTCCGACAAACGACAGAGCTCGCTCGACCACTGAAGCATGTTTAGGTACGAACATAGCCTCCAACCAATAACGAAAGGCGGGTTTTTTGCTAATTGGTCGAGAGGAACCTTAGCCCGACGGGGACACCTCGACCGAGATCCACTATTAAAGTACCCAATAGGCAGAACACCCAGCTCGCGATGGGCAGTTCACGCCACGAAGTCAAGACCCTGACCGCGATCTTGACCTCGTCCCTACAGACTCCTACTCCGCTTCCTCGACACATCCCAACATGTGTCGACCATAACTAAGGTCGAGCACAAACCTCCACTCATCAAAATTCCACGTTTCACGAAATAAACAAGTCAAGCACAACGACAAGCAAATATTTAACAATATAATAGAGAGACAAAATAAAGGCATTTACAAGTGCCGACCACGAAGGTCAATGTTGTCCAAATATTAAAAGAATATGGGCACGCAGACCCCGATACAAATAATTAAAAATTACGGGCACGTAGGCCCCAAACATAAACAACCAAATCATCAAGAAAATATTAGTCACTCCGCGCAGTACCCTCTTCAGTATCTAGCTCAAAAGAATCGGGAGGAGGGACCACCTTACCATCAACTATCTGAGACAAAACTCTGGCACCTTCAATGCTGAGCTCCGGATTCAGGACATCCAGCTAAACCATCACGGTCTCAAAACTGTCTGTCAGTGCGTCCATGTAATCCAACTCGAGGACCTTGATTCGAGCAACCAGTTCTGCACGAGTCTTCAAGCTAGCGATTCCCTCTGGCTCGTCTTCCGCAGGCAGTGTGGCAGCCTTCAAGTCAGCGACCTCTTTCTCTAGGTTTTTTCTCTTGAGCAACAATGAATCCCTTTCCTCAGAGGCTTTGACCACCTTCTCCTTCTCTCTTGCCAACTCAAAAGCATGCCCTGGAACTTTTCCTCGCTTCGCTCAAGAGTAGCCTTCAACTTCTGCGCCTTTTCCTGAAGAGTCGCTTTCTCTAACTCTAGTTTGCCCACCATGGCAGAAGAGTTGGCACCCTCACCTGCGAGGACGAAAACCATCTCCGCGATCTTCATCAGACCGATCATGCCCGAGGCCGGATGTTGCCTCCTACCTTTCTCATCAAGCCGCTTGATGGTAGAAAATTTACCATTAAACACAACCAAGAGAAATCCTTCGAAGAAATCCTTCTCGACAAAGCAAAGAGGAAGGGTGAAGGCCCGAGCAGCTAACTCCTCGTCAGCCAAATCCGCAGGCCCACCTTCATGGTGACTCCTTTTTTTCCTGACAAGGTCGCGCACTGAGCAACATCGTGAGAACCCGAAGAACCACTAGACCCATCCCTGACCTGCTCGGGAATAGGGTCAAGGCGTGTGCACTGGTTAGGCTTCACTAACCTCTTGCTGCTCTTTTTCTCCTGGGTCAACTTCAAGAGACGTTTGCGACGCTCGACCATATTACCTACAAAAACAAAAATAATATGCTCGAGTCAGTATCGTTAGAGGGACATACCCAAAACAAGTTAAAAACAAAATGCAATAGAGTCACGCAGACAGAGACCCAGAAGAACCACGACGTCTCTGTAGGTACGACACTTAACAAGCGCCTTAGTGTTGATCGGGCGGGCCTCAAATGTAGGTTCGTCATCTTCATCTAGAACATCATCTCCTTCCCTCGTTACCCACCTGGAGGGGAAGAAACCATCGACGAATCTGTTGAGGATACGGAGGCCCTTTCATCCTCGACACCCATGTTGCCGGCAGAAGTATGGTAGTGGTCGGGCCTGTGGTCGTAGTGAGTTCGACACCAATGGATAAGAAACTTAGAGTGCCTCCCAATCTCTTTGTTCCAATCCTCGTCATAACACACTTCCTCGTTCTCATCTACGAGAGAAATTGGGTCGAACACCGTGTCCACTGCCTCTTGAGACGATGGTTGCACGACATATCACTTGTTTTTAAAATCACGGACAGAGTCCATGTACATATGGAACATCCTCTTGGACTGTTTAAAAGAAACCCAACTATCTTTTCCTCCCCTAGACTGCCAATGAAGATGGAAAACCCTGAAGAACAAAGGAATCATCGCCCCAATCCTCAGGTATCAGCAAGTAATCTCGAAAGCTCGTATAAAAGCAATCGCGTTGGGGTGCAGTTGGGAGGGCGACAAGGACAAATGATTGAAGACGCCCATTTGAAAGTCACTAAAAGGAAGACGAAGCCTCAGATCCCTGAAGACAATCTTGTACATGGGGAAGCGATCTTCCGAGAAAGACGAACATATTCTGATCGTAGGTGTCAGGCAAAAGATCATGAAATTCTTCCGAAAACCCTCTTAGCCTAAGAAAGGCATATAAATAAAAGAAGTGAAAAAACATAAAGTGCAGAAAATAGATTCATGAAAGGTCTTAAACAATTTAGAAAGTGTAGTATTTATAAATTAAATTATCCTATGGGCCATATAATCATGACCTACATAAAATATTGTCTTATTCGATTATATGTGGTGCCCCGACCATAAAATCATGACCAACATAAAATATTATCTCGTTCGATTATATATGGTGACCCGGCTATAAAATCACGACCTACATAAAATATTGTCTTATTCGATTATATGTGGTACCCCGACCATTAAATTAGGACCTACATAAAATAGTCTCATTTGAATATATGTGACGCCCCACATTCCCCTTGTTATCTTCTACATTTTTAGTGTCTTCCTTTAATGATATCCATCACCACCATCTTCTGTTAGTGGTGTTATTAACACAAAACATAATCTTAAAGTCTAATTATCAAGTCCTAGTGTGTTTTGACTAAATCGAGAATTGAGGAAGATTTGTTTGATTCCTATAGCAATACTCATATGATTACTAACTTTAATCAATTGTCTGCATCAACAATTGTCTGCAGTACTCACCACAATGCATTTAGCTACCTTCAAATGGGTGACTTTACAAAAGTTAGTTTGGTAAGAATGCTATTTGTGGAATAATTATGAGATGCAAGATTGAGAATAAACACTCAAGGAGAGGGAAGTATATAAAAACTTGATGGAAGTGGATTTTCTATCTTCACAAGAATATGAATACACTCTAAAAAAAACAGATGCACTGGTATTCATAACACATTTTCAAAAGATAGCAAGTATATAAATTACAAAATTTGGGTATCCCCTCTTTTGAAAGGAAAATGATATCATTACAACAGAGTATATAGACGGCTCTAATCATTCCTTTCAACTATACTTTGCATTTACAAATTTAGTTTTCATGACGGCTGACGATTGTACAAATGCTGTCCTTACTTCCCGAACTTGACTCCTCATGGTTCGTGGCTGTTAACACGAGTGTGAAGTTCCAACATTTCTTGGTGGTTTGGATCCACCGAGAGTGCAGCACGACAGTCCCTTAACGCACTTAGGACATCGCCTTTGTGTTCATGGAATGCTGCGCGTAAATGTAAGAGGTGCAAATCAGCTTTAAATGCAATTGCTCGTGATAGTTCGGCAATGGCTTCCTGTTCCTTATGGTTGTCCATCAAAACTGCAATCACATTCACCATATACACTTGTTGTCAAGTACTAGCCACAATAACATAATTATAATCCTTAGAGTTTATTCAGAAAGTAAAAATATCAACCTGCTGCTCGATATCGATAAGGATACACACGAAGTGGATCTAATCGAGTGACCATTGCTAGATCCGCCTTTGTAAGATCACGATCACCGTACTCGGATCTCTTCTCATACGCCGACGCGTTGCTTTTTGCCTTCTCAATAAGTTCAGTCATTTCCTTGTAAGCAGCAGCCTTGTCGTTTTTAAGAAAATGAACACGCGCAAGACCCTGATGGGCTCGCGTATGATGGATTTTTAGGGCTTTGATATAGCAATCGGCTGCTTGGTCCAGTTTCTCATGATCCACAAAAACACTTCCAAGATTGTTCAAGGCCTGGTAGATTAAATGGAACAAAATAATACCAAAACTCTTAAGTTAATACAAAATCGGTGTTACCTAGAGCCTACACATCAGAACTCCTGATGTCACATCATCAGAACTCTTGCAAAGTTACAAATAACTGCTAATTAATTCCAAAATAGGGAAAATCGTCGTTTCTTTTTACAAATGTAAGTTAATACTCAACCTGTGTGGTCACTGGTTGTTGGTTAGTGAAATGTTTCCAGAAGGTGGTACAATAGAAAAACCGTACCTGACCTTTGCGCAGATTATCAGAAGGACACCTCAATGCATCTTCAAGAAGTGAAATAACAGTTGAAGAACATATTGAACCAAGACCAGAATCGGCCAATGCATATGCCTTCAGGAAAAAGGCCTCGAATGACCTTTTAATACAAATAGACTCTTCAGCTTTTTGGAGCCCTTCCTCATAATGACCAGTATCATACAAGATCCACCCCTCGTATACAAGCCGTTCATGCTCACTTGATGCATGTTGCCATGCTAACTGTAAACTCCGCATAGCAGCCTCGGGACAGTTTAGCCTAAATCAAATAAATGACAGATCCTTTTACTAGTTGGCACTTGGCATGAACAAGTTTCAATCAGTGTTACGATAGACGAAAGAGAATCATGAAGTTAGTAGAATTCAACAAATTTTTACAGGTAAAAACAATTACCACACATTCATTAATATCATACCTTAGAAGAAGCAATGACTGTCTAAAGTATAGAACACCTTTTGCCGCATCAGATTCCAGCATCTGGTAAATAACAGATAATGACTCAATATCATCAACAGCAGACCAACAGTCATATAATTGTGCCCAACAATCTGCCGTCGTCAAATGTTCAACGTGCTCAAGCACAAGAGTACGGAGTTGAGATGCAGCTACACGTCCCTCAAACATTCTATAATGTGGACACAGAGTAAGAACTGCTTGAACATCGCGAAGGGCGGCTTTGTAGTCCTCGAGAGCCAGATAGATAAAAAACCGTAGTTCCAAGCATTCTAACGAAAGTTTGAAGCCAAGTATCCGATTTATTTCGGCAAGTGCACCCTGAGAATTCTCTGTCCACATTAAAGACGCAGCCCTATACATGTAGGGATATACAAGAGTAGGGTCCAGTTCAGTTGCTTTCTCAAGGTCTTTCCACCTCAAATCACCATCACAATATAGTGACCTTTCTTGGTACATCCATCCAAGTCGAGTGACAGGAGAAATGACTGAGCTGATCTTCTCATAAGATATATGCCCCTCGCCTTGTATAGAGTTGAGTCGAGCTAAACCGGCAACAGAATAAATATGACCTGCTTTTACAGCTCTCTCAAAAAGGCAACGAGCTTCGTCGTATTCTTTTCGCAAGAGCCTTACACATCCCAATCGATGAAACGCCAACAGTCTTTCCTTGTCATTTTCAGCAAAATCAGCTAACCTTTCCATAAAATGAACTGTTGTGTCTGAACTAGAATTAACGTTCATAGAAACTTCGCTTAAGAAGCAGAAAAGTGCATATAAACCTGGACCAACCATAACTGTCAACTGCTGCTTATTTGGGTGAAGAAATAAATCCACCACCCGACTATCGCTCAAGCAGTGGGGAAGATCACGTAAAAGGATTTGTAAACAAGAAGCTGCAAGGACAGTTGAATTCTCATCAAGAGCATATTCCATGAGTTCGATAGCATCTTCTTTCGAAGTAACTAACAATGCAAGTCTTCTATCACAAGCGTCTTTCAATCTATCGCAACAATACTTGTTGGCGAAAACCAATATCTCCAACAAAAGCTTCGGAGAGAGTTGTTCAAGTAAACTATCAGTCATACTGAAATAACTTATTGCCCTCATACCCGAAGAAGATATATTGTTTTCAGACAAATCTATAGCCTCCGAAACCGATTCACAGAAAACCCCATTTAACATTGTGTGAAATGGCGCCGAGAGTTCAGAAAACTTTTGTCTATCACACACTATCTTCTCATCCCCTATCGTAAAAACAACATACGGTGAAGTGTTGTTCCCATTCATCAAGACCTTCTCCTGGGAACTTACATTTATATCAGAAATATGAGATTGCACATCTATCGGCCCATATTCGTTTTGGCGTTTACCTGTCAACAAGCCAGCAATTAACTCTTCACCTTGCTTCTCATATTTCAACCATGCCCCAAATACAATCTTCTCGTGAACACTACCTGCCCTCCGCCATGCTTCCCGGAGACTTCTTTGCATCAGTTTAACATCTCCAAGGCCTTTAAAGACCTGATATTGAAACAGAAACAGATTCGACTGTTCCTGTGAAGAACACGACTCAAGTTCTTCATGGATTTGCGCTAAAACTTCAACATAATCAACAGGTTTAAAGAACGGTAGCACGGGCGGCTGCTGGACTTTGATTAGAGATTCTCTATAGTAACCAAAATCAAATCAAACAAGTTAATTCAGTGAAAATTGTCTAAAAATTTAAGCTTCCAATAAAAAATTAAACCAGAAAAAATAAAAATAAAAACTTACATCGATGACAATTTGGGAAGCTTCCCTCTTTCAACCTGAAGCCATGATTGAGGATTAAGAGAACTTGAGTATTCTTCCTTAGATGATTCTGCAGGGAAGAAAGACCTCATAGGGCATAATACACGAAACAAATCCCAGATCTCCACTACAGCAACACTCTATAATTACCCTTCAAAATCAAACCTTTGCAAATTGGGGGCAAAGGAAAAAAGATAAGCTTTTACCTACTGCTTCTCTCACATTCCACTACTACCCTCAAACTTCAAAATACCCTAACCCCAGAAATAAAAAACAAAACTTTTTTTTTTCATTTTGCCCCCTTTTGTATACCCTAATAGAAAACAAAACCAATCAATATCAAAATTACAGCTTTTTTATACCACTATAGTAAAAAATGAAAATTAAGATTAATGGGTTGTCCTTTCCATTGACAAAATCTAAGTCAAGATTTGTATCTTTCAGAAATAGATAAGCATTAAATGGCTTTATTCTAGTACTCTTTTGTTTACAATCAAACAAGGAATATCTATAATAGTGTCAAAAGGTACAAAAAAAAACTTGACCAGAAAAGAAAAATTGACTACTCGTGTACTTAGCTGGTTCATGAAATTGGCACACACAGAGATAGAGAGAGAAGAGTGGTGGGTTGAATCTGCAGAAACAAAATGAAGGGTTTGTTTGATTTTGAAGATGAAAGGTGGATCTAAGTTAAAAATTGAAACTTTGGTGAATGGGAAAGTAAATGGCTTTTACTTTTTTTCAAACGCACTTTTTTTTCTTCAGTTGGATGCTATAGAAGTTGCATCCACTATTTGTTGAGAGTGGACCTCACCAATAGTGTATAAAAAATGAATAAAATTATTGAGTGTTGAAGTTAGGTTGATTAATTGAAAATTTTGAAAGGGGAATGAAAAATTAATTAAGTTATAGTGTGATCAAAAGAGAAGAGAAGAAGACATGATGAAATGAGTTGTAATAATGAAATGGAAATTAACAAATGGGAGCCTGACAGGTAGTATTAGGAAGTCGTTTTCGAATGTTAATGACAAAAGTACAAATGTTGTTTGTTTGAAATTTGATGTTTTGTTTCATTCTTTCACTCGAGAATGATAATGACCAAATTGGATAAAGAGGACTTGTATTGGAAAAGTTTTTTTTTATACGAAGAATTTAATTTATGTCATTCAATAATTGTTTTTCAATAGAATGAATCAATTCAACAAAGCTATATTTAGGGGTAGCAAAATGGGTTCGACCTGTTGGGTATATCCGTTTTACCTGCGCTTTAATGCAGAGTGGACCAAAAATTTAGACTATCACCTCTAATGTGACTACTTCATTTCGTCCCGTTTTCTTCGCGGGTTTTTGCGGGCATGATTATTAGCATAAAATTTTGTATTTTTAGGTCTAAAAGGTGTAGTGCACGCGGGCTTTCCCCGCCTCGCACTCACTTTTTTGCGAGGCAAACCTAGGTTTTAGGCCCTCGTCCTCAACTATACTCGTTCCGCCCCCGTACCGTTTTTTTGCGGGCTTTTGTGGGGTGAGCCTAAACGGGGCGGGCATGCCCGTTTGCCACCTCTAACTACATTTAGTCCAAAAATTAGTCGCTCTAACTAATAAGTGAGTAACTGAATTTGTTTGCCACCTAAAAAACTTTACTTTAAAATTGGGAAAAACATAGAGTATACTCTTGATAGATTTAATAATTAAAGTAAATTATAAGCTACCATCTTTACTAGCATGGATAGCTTGAACTACGACTTGAGAATCACTCTCAAATTGAGCGTGATCCAATTGCATATGGATTGTCGCCTGAACTGCTTCCTTCAAGGCCAAGGCCAAGGCTTCTACAGATAGATAATGTGGTCCCATGTTATATCTGTAAAGATAAAATTACCATAATTGTCTCTAACACACTAGCCTAAATTGATTGTTTTCATCTGAAGATTGAATATGGTGTCCACATTACACTCAAATCACCCAATATTCGACGGATTCTGACTTGTATGGTGTTGATTTTCCGCCACTATCAGTACTATGATCCTTTTGGGCCCTAAACCAATCTTGTCAAGTATTAAAAGCTTGAGTACCTAACTACATAAAACTATCTCGTTTGTGATTCCAAATGAAATTATTCCTATTATTCCACATCATCTAATTCTAAATCATTACATTAACTCTCCCTGCAACCCGCATATCTTCCTTACTACAAACATACAGGAGAATAGATTTAGTATCATTAAAAATTTGTAGTCTAGGTTCTATAGTAGAGGACAACCTAGCCACTCTCCAACACTGATTAATAGAGTTATAACCAAATAACATGTGTCAATCATCTTCCTCACCATCCTGACAAAGTTGACGATACGAAGGACAAGGAACAACATGTTAGTGAAGTCTGAACCGAGTTGGAAGGAAACCTCTACAAATACGCCACCAAAAAGAATTCAGCATCTTCTCAATATCATTCACAATCACATTTGGTATGACAAAAACACTCATAATGTATGAAGGAATAGCTTAAAGTATTGATTTTATCATAACTTCCTTTCCTACTTTGGATAATGACCTCCCCCTTTAAGAATTAATCTGTTTACATATCCTATCTTTGATAAATGCAAAGGTAACCTTCTTAATCCTACCTATCATCGAAGGTAATCCCATATAAGTCCCTGTTGCTGACACCTGGCGGACTCCCATTATTCGGGCGAGATCTTCTTGGGCTGGACGACTAATATTACGGCTGAAAAACACTTCTGATTTGGTCATGTTTATCTCTTGGCATGATGCTCCTTCAAAGATAATGAGTAAATCCATAAGCTTTGTAGCCTCTGAAATATTAGCCCTACAAAATAAAAAATAACCGTCAGCAAAAAGTAGATGGGACACACTAGGTGCCCCTCTGCATATCTGAACTTTGTGAATATGACCTCTAGCCATTGCTTGATTAATCAGAGATGATAATCCTTCTGCTACAAGAATGAAAAGGTAAGGGGGTGGGGGATCTCCTTGTCTGAAACCTCTCCCTAGCTAAATTGGTCTAACTTTATCTAAATTAACTAGAACTGCATAATTCACCAAAGTGTCACACATCATCACCCAATGAATCCATCTCTCTACAAAACACAACCGACTAAGCACGCCTTTCAGGAAGCCCCAATTAACTCTATGATAAGCTTTACTAATATAAAATTTAAGATCCAATTCCCCTATATTACCTATTGTCTTCCTCTTCAAAGCATGGATAATCTCGATGGCAATCAACGCATTGTCAAGAATAGATCTCTCTTTCATAAAAGTCAATTGCTATTGTGATACACATTTATCTAAGCACTCTTTCAGTCTATTCTCAAGCAGCTTTGAAAAAGTCTTATACGACACATTACAAAGCGAGATCAGTCGTAACTACTTTATATTATTATCCTTAGAACACTTTAGAATAAGACAAATATTAGTATCATTGAGAGAGTTAAGAAAGAATCCATGCTCCAGATAATGATTAGCAGCCGCAAAAATATCATTCCCATATAAATCCCAACAATCTGAAAAGAGTCGAGCTCTTCAAGCCAAAAAAGAAGAAGAAACCGGAGAAGATTTTGATGAAGAGGACGAGGTGTCTCTACTGTCTAAAAGAGTTAACCAACTCTAGAAGCAAATACAAAAGAAGTTCATAGGCTACATAAGAATAGGTGGGCGTTCTAAGTCAACCTTTGGACAGAAAAAGTCTATAGCTGACAAAGAAGTTATCTGTTATGAATACAAAGAACCTGGCCATTAAAAGTATGAGTATCTCATACTCACTGACGAAAAGCCAAAGAATATGTTCTTCAAAGATGATAAGAAAGTTCTAATGGCAACATTGGACAATCCTGAATCTTCAAAAGATGACTCTAAAGAAGATCAAGCAAATATGGAGCTGATGGAAAGTGCAGAAGCATGTAACTCTAAATTAGAATCAAATTCAGACAGTTTAGAGGTATTCTCTCATTTAACTTACTTTGAACTTGAACTCTCTTTAATTGAAATTCTTGAAAAGGGTCAGAGACGTCAGAAAATATACAAGAATCTTAAACATATTCATGTAGCTGACTCTGAAGTCCATAGGGAGAAACTGAAAAAATATCTGAACTGAAAGAGAGAGAAAATGCATTCTTGAAAATGAAAACTCTGCATTAAAAAGAAAAAGTATAGAACTTGAAAAATAAATTCTTTTATAAGCTCATATAAACTCTGAATCATTCATTGAGAAATATGACATGTCTTTTCAAAATTTCTTGCACAAAACATAGATAGAAGCAATATAGCTTTCATGATCTATGAAGTAAGCATAAATGGGAGAAAAAGGTATTGGTTTTGTCACATCAAAAAATGAGTTGCTTGATCCTAAACAAAAAGTAAAAATGGTGATTAAACTAAAAACCTTATACTCTCATTTCACTTTTGGACACACACATAATGATTATGTTGCATAAATACTTTGGGTTGAAAAAACATCTAGGAGAACTAACAAAAAAGGATCCCACAAGATATGGGTACCTAAAGGCAAAATAGTCTATGTTGCAGACATCCTTAGCAACTAAGTTGAAACACCAATCATGTTACCTGGACTCTGGATGCTCAGAACATATGACAAGAAGAAGACATATGTTCCAAGATTTAGACCTAAAACCTAGAGGCTCGATAGGTTTTAGAGGAAATCAGAAGGGTAAGATAGGCTTTGGAACTATTGGTAATGGCTAGCTCCCTTCTATTAAAAGTGTTTTATTAGTGCAAGAATTAGTGCATAACATTTTGTCTATAAGTCAATTAAGTGACAATGGTTATGATATTATCTTTAATCAAAAGTTTTGTAAAGTTGTTAGTAAAAAAGATGGCTCGGTACTATTCACTGACAAGAGGAAAAACAACATTTATAATATTACTTTCAAATTTAAAAAATAAAAATGTTAAATGTCTCATGTATGTGATCTAAGAGAAATGGACCTGGCACAGAAGCTTAGGACATGTTAACATGAGAAGAATCTCAAAGCTAAAAAAACTGAACCTTGTTAAAGGCCTTCCAAAATTGAAGTTTGCTTTAGATGCTCTTTGTGAGGCATGCCAGAAAGAG